ATCATAAACAATTTAATTATTTATTAATTTTTTACTGTTGTAAGGTATCGTAAGCTAAACAACAGTGCTCAAAACAATATAGCCCTTTATATCGTAATAGTTACGTCGCCCGATTTAGGACCATACCTGGTTACCTCTCTTATGCATTCTACTTTAAAATATAACAGATAATCTACTTTAAAATAAAACACATAAAAATATAATAGAGATTTTGAAAATGTATTCTTCATTTGTTTTTGAGATAATGGTGGTGAACCTTTTTACCTTTAATCCCCGCTCTATCCTATATGCAAATGTCCCAAGACGCATTTTTACCAGTCATAAAGAGATAGTAAATTCCTATTGGCATTGACACATATTAATTTTCAACTTTATTTATTATATTTAGTAAGATTGCAATGTTATTTTATCAGAAATGTGTTGATTTATATACAACAGTAGAACATCTATCATATAATATTTATAAGTCGGATCGGGTCTGCGTATATTTTCGCGGCTATTATCTGTAACAGTCGTAAATATGTCAAAGATATGCAAACGATAGCGTGCTGATCAGAACCTTTTATTTATTCAAATCCATAAATCACACGTGCAAGTTCCTTTTACCTTGCTTTTTGCATCTTGTTGAGAAATTCAATGCCCGCCATCGAGATTACGGAACTATAAGCAGATTTTTAAAATGTCCAGTCGGCGTTCGGATTGGTCATTTTGTACGTAGAATGGGTATTCAATAGCGATATAACTCAAAGATACTCTTTTTATCACGTGAACGGTGTGAGAAAATAATTTTTTCATTATCTTACAAAATTTATATCAATAATGTAGCCAATTTATATCTCCAGTGTCATAGTAATAGTTTGGAAAAATATCAACATGAGTTGAAACACACATAAAACTCGTCTCTACAAGTACATCAAGCTTATTCATATAAAAATTTAAGTAATTACATTAAAACTATTGGGTAGGGCGGAGCACGAAGGTCCAATTTGACTTTGACCAATTATACTGTGAAAACCGTTGCAAAGGGATTTTGCAAAATAATACCTATATTGTTCAACCTATGCAAAATATAAATTTCGTGGGTACATTTTTTACAGAGATATAAAAGTATCTTACACTGTATATAACTTTAATCTAGTATTTTGCCGAAAATATTCATCAGCAAGATTGAAATAACTATTTGTTTAATTCATCTCTTGTAGAATTATCTTAATTTACTTGTTTTATTTAGTATTTTCATACACCTTTACAAGTTGAAGGTTCTATTGGACCATTCATATATAAAAAAGCTGTTGAATTTAGCTTAAAATTAACATATCATAATATATATTAAGGTGGTCCCTAATATGGATGTTTTTGAATTTTCTTGCTCCCAGGGGATCAAATGCTTCGAAATTCATAAAAAAAAATCTCTGAAAGTTGTAGCTCTTAATATTAACTTTAAGAGAGTCCGCACTTCAGCCAAAGTTTCTTATGGAAATAACATGAGTAAAATTGCATTTGTTTTCTAGAATTTTATAGAATTTAACGACAAATGAATTAAAATTTGAGAATAACATTGTATTTGCTTATTTTGATCATAAATAAAAAAATACAACAAATTTTTGATATATTTTATAAAATAAGTATTAACTTAAAGAAAAATCAAGAAACTTTGGTTGGAGTGTGGACTATCCTAAAGTCAATATTAAGAGCTAAAACTTCCAGATTTTTTTATCAATTTGGAAGCCTTGAGCTCCTGGGAGCATATGTGTATATATATATATATATATATATATATATATATATATATATGTGTGTGTGTGTATATATGGGGCAGCAAATTTTAATTGATACAACTATGTAAGCAAATTATTTTCCCGAGTACTAAAATTCTTTGCAATTAGTAGAGATGCACTCGCTGGTAAAAGGCAATAAAAACTTTACCAGTAAACATTTCTTAATTATCTTAATAGTTATTAAACTACACGTTTCATCTCCTTGACAAAATGTTGCAAAAAAGTCAGCACTATAAATCTTTAATTATTTATGTGTACATAATGCGTGTAAATCATTACAAGTGCCATCCAATCTATGAAACTGTCAACTAAAAGTAACAAGCAGCAAATTAATTTTCCAGCGTCAAAAAATAAGATTGCGCGTAATAAAATTGCATTTCTAAAAGTAATGAATATTTACAAAATATTAACTTTTGGGGTCACTTGGAAAATATTGATTATTTTCCAACTGACGATTTAATTTTTTTTTTCATTTGTCGCTCAATAACTGATTCGAGAACTTGTTCAGTTATACAAATGTGAACAAAAAATTAAATTGATTAGGGGAGTTAGGTGCTTGGTGCATTTTTTTTATAATGTATCTTGAGATTTACTGGTTATGTTTTTACAAAATAAAAATCGATAGTTGCTCTAACTATACTTCTACCGAATTAGATAAAAATAATTGGACAACTATTTATTATTTTAAAATTGATCAATTTTCAGAAAAAGTAGAACGAGTAGTGACGACAAAAACGACAATAACGCCTCTGATAATTAATTCTCTACTCATTTTTAAGAAAATTTATTTATTTCTAGGTGATTCTTTTCATACATCAGTGCAAACTATAAGTAATACAAATAAAATATATAATGCTTCCTGTAATATAAATTTTTATTATAAATTTACGCAGTGCCTCCTGTAACACCATTCATCAAATCCTTTTCACTTGAATGTGTATAAATAATGTATGAATGTTACAACTGTCCCCAAGGTTTTCTTTCAACTAATCTCAGGTGTGGTTTTTTACATTAATCGATATAACTAATAATACAATTTAACAATTATAAAAATTGAGCACATCATAACAGATTGATAAACTTGAAACGAAGTAAGATATATAAAATTTAAAATTAGCCAATAATAATAACTCAAACCGAAAATTTATGATAGATCTATTTTAATTAACCTGTCAAATTGACGGACAAAAATACTATTTCTTTTTTATGGAAAAAAATATTCCGGAACACTTACACTATATATTCGGTAATTTTGATGTGAGAGAGGCATTATATGATTCAAATAAGCTAATAATTGTATATAATATTGAAGAAAGGTTATATATCTATATCTATATCTATATATATATATATATATATATATATATATATTTATATATATATATATATATATCAAATACTAACATTAATGAGCACTTGAAACATCTATTGACTATTTTTCTTCATTCAAACTGGGTTAAAATCGCATAAAATATAAAATTACTTTCTAAACAAACCCAATATTTCTTAATGATGTATATAACTACATTTTACCATCTTAACATCTTTCTGGCTAATACTAAGTTATATTGCTTTAGTGATGCACATAAACTGCATCTTTTCCATTAGCAAACCTATGTAATTAAACTTGCTTGCTTAACGTTTCACACAAATATTCTACTCACATTATTAAGTTCACTTTTGATAATGAACTATAAATTATAGTTTTAGTGAAAATAAATTAGTCGAAAATTTTCTTTTTTTTGCATCCCATAGCATAACGCGTGTTTATTTTAAAATTGCATAAAAATAATCCATCGCCCTAACGAGAATATAATTACGGTATTAAAATTAATCGTGTTTCTCAAGCAGAAATTCCATTAAAAATTGCAATGATGATACGCGCGTAACCCTTCTGCGTTAATAACAATTATGATTTTTGCAAGGCTTGTGGATAATGCATGGAAGTATTTTTTTTATTTATCAACTACAATAATCGCAGTCTATTAAATATGACCTTTTTATTAGAATAATGAACACAATGTGTTTATTATTCTTTTCGTGTTAGTTTTTCGTTGCATTAATCATTATCATTAACCGAGATTATCTCATGATGTCATTTTTATTATAAATTATAATAAATTCTGGAATGTTTTGACTCTCTGAAAATATTATAAATAGGTACTATGAAATAAATAAAGTTATTTAAATGCAAAAAAATATTTAAATTTTATGTATTATAATAAACTGGGCATGAATTAATGTGACAAATTTCTAAGTATTGTTAGCAATAAATTAATTTTCATGATATTTCAAATTATTCATAATAAGACATAATATATTCATAATTTTTTTTTCTTTCAGATTTTACGCATTACATCTACGCCAGAAGTCATTAGGATGCCATATTTACATTCGTAAAATAAGTCATACACAAGATAAACAAGAAATGCAATAAATATTAAACTAAAATATTTGCAATAATAAAACTGTGAGTCTACATAGTGCCATAATATTAAGATATTAATTATAAGTTTATTCAATACTGTGCAATCTCATTACAAGATATTACTAAATTAAGATAGTTGATAATTTAAAACAAGCTTTAAATAATAACTTAAGATACTCATTTAAATACTCAAAGCTAAAGCTAAAAATAAGTCCGTGTTTTATTCAAAACAGCCATCGTGCAATCTCAGAGATAAATATATAGTGAAGTGAATAAGTGATTTGTCAGAATAGTGACTTTATAAATATATTATATTAAAATGTCTTCTCCGTCAATGTTATCGCCACAAGATGCGACTATGAGAGATTCGATCTCTCCGCCGCCCTTGTCCCCAAAAATTCCATCGTCCGAAGATTTGAATCAGCATGAGCCTTCCCCGGATTCGCCACCGGCCATGCTCGCGACCATGACTCCGGTCAACGTCATGGAGCTGCAGAAAGATTTTGAGGAGTCTCAGAAAAATCAGGAGATCTATCAGGAGCGTCAAATTTATTACTCCGATCGGCCTCTCTCACCGGGTCAAATATATCAGCAGCACGCCTCGCCCGGGGACGGGTATGAAGAGAAGCAGCCGCAGCCTCAGATTGATTTAATTTACGAAGACGGTAAACAAACCGTCATATATACGACGACGGCTGATCAGAAAGCCTTGGAGATTTACTCACAAAGCGGCGCAGGTGAATTGGTAACTCCGATAGATGGAAGTCTTATGCACACTTCTGATGGTACTCCGGTGTCGGTGGTGGTGCAAGGAGGTCTGCATTATCCGCAGCAGACGGGAGCGACGGTCCTGGTGCTTTCGGAATTGGTAGAAGGGATGCAGCATGTTGAAAGGTAGGATTTTATCATATTACATTATATATATATATATATATATATATATATATATATACATCCGGTGTCGGTGTGTGTGTGTATATTAGGGTGGTTCTTATAATAGACATTTTCGAATTTCCTTGCTCTCAAGAGCTCAAATTGTTCCAAATTGATAAAAAACAATTCTCTCGAAGCTTTAGCTCTTAATATGGTTTTTTAGATAGTGCACAATTCAATAAAAGTTTTGTATGAAAATAGCATAAAAAAATTTCAAAAATTTTAAAAAGGTAGATATAATTTAGCGAACTATAAATGAGTTTTATTCAAAATTTGTCGCTAAGTTATACCTTTTTTTTAATTTAAAAAAAAAAATTCATGCTATTTCCATACAAAGTTTGATTAAATTGCGCACTATCAAAAAGTTAATATTAAGAGCCAAAACTTTCAGAGAATTGTTTTTTATCAATTTGGAACCATTTGAGCCCTTGGGAGCAAGAAAATTCAAAAATGTCTATATTAAGGACCACCCTATATATATATATATATATATATATATATATATATATATATATAAATTATAAATTTATATAAATGTATATAAATTTATGCATAAGTTCTTTTAGGGCGATGCATAAAAAAGGAAATAATTCATAAATTAATCTTTAATTCCCAAACGTTTTGATTTACAATTTAATGCCATCATCAGTGGATATTGAAATTGGTATCTTACATTATTAGATATGTACATAGCACATCAGACACGAACTTGTTATTGGCCATGATTTTTCCTTTATTCTATAAATAATATGAATTGTTTAACAAAACTGTAGATAAAATTAAGATATTTTTGCCAAAGAACTTGTAATTGCAACAATGTTCGAGACCCAAATAATAATAATAATAATATAAAAATCTAATGAACTCCAATCATTATCAGGCTATATTTTACTACTATAATTACCAAAACCACAAAACGGTCATCTTTTATTAAATTCAGACTAATTTCTCAATTACTACATTATAAAAACTATCATTTTGTTATAAATAACAGTTCAACGCTTAGTTCACGCTTATTACACAAGTTTGACTTGAAGTTTACTGATTTTATTATTTACTTTCAAAAACAGGGCGGAGCTGAAAGGTCAGCGGGTAAAAAGGTTCACCACCATTATCTCAAAAACAAGTAAAGTTTGAAATTTGTAAGGGCTATAATCAGCCATCGCATTAAATCTTGGAAAGTACTTTATTCTTTGTTAGTTTTTTGGTTTTGAGCACTGTTCTTTAGTTTACGATACTTGAATATCTTTTTAAAGTGCACACTTTTTGAACAATAAGACAATAGTAAGCCCTTGAAACAGAAGATGTATATACCTTATTTGTAATAATTGTATTTCAAGAAATATTGTATCTGATCATGTTGAGTAAAGCAGAAATATCTACCTAAGAAAGATTTATAATAGTAGTAATAGTTGATACAGATTTTTGTTCATTATTTTCAAGATTATATATTTAGATTCTAATTTTTTTATTTTTTTTTAAACCTAGGAAATAAACCACATAGATTAACCAAATAATGTGGCTATTATTCCGTAAAACCCCTTTAAATTTAAAATTAAAATATTGGATTGTTTCGCCTCTTGGCTGTGTTTTTTTACCCTGCCTATATAAAAAGGGACAGATGACAAATTTTATAACAATTGCAAAAAAAATTTTTTTTAAATGTTGAATTAGCTGTACTGAACATGGTTTGATATGTGTTATGTATTGTGATGTAGATGATAGGGTTTTCACATTATAATACCAATAGTCAGATTGGACCTTTGTGCACTACCCTACTATAATACTATTTTTTCTATTGTTCTAATAATTATTATTATATTCTATTTAATAATCAAATATTGAGCTTAAGTCAAACCGATTTGAGGAAAAAAATCGAGTACTCTTCCTTTCATTTATTTCACATGAAACATTTAACGCATTTGCTGCTATGTCAGTTGTTCGATAACACTGCAATTATTAATGGTAGAAAGGTGCATAAAGGATTATTTGCCATAGCAGTACATGATGAAATACAATCGACATAATCTTTATTTATTTTCAATTAACGCTTTCTGTCGATATCGCCGTTGTAATATCTTTCTCTGTGCATACTATAAATCATAAATCCATCTCGAGGTATCCGAAGAAATTCTCCTATATCGTGATACGTTGTCGATCAGAATTTTCCTCCTTGGCCATATGGAGACTCACGAATGCCGGAAACACATCAATTAATACAAGAGTTTCGTGCCGTTTCGATAATGAGCGATACAACAGCAGGTCATATAGCGTATTATGCCACGAATCGTGATTCACAGACGTTATTTCGAAGAAATACCATAATTTGCTTATAACATATACCTACTAACAGCATGTAGGTAATGGCGGGTTTAGTTAAATTGCGGTTTTAGAAATTCTTACGGAGAACTAATACGCGATGAAAGGTTGTTATTTATGCCGTATCCGAAATAAGTGACAGAATTTTTTGAGAGCGATGGAAAATATTTTAACATCTGCTATGAATGGCTTATATAACTGATCTACTTTAAATATTCCAATCTTGTAGTATAACATCTCGTAAACTAAATGTAACATATTTTCTGATTATGGGAAAATTTGAGCATTTTTCCTTTGTTAGTCAACACCGCATATACTTTGTAATAAAAGGATCTTCTACCACGCGGATTTTTTGAGAGCGATGGAAAATATTTTAACATCTGCTATAAAGAGTTGCTTATATAGCTGATCTACTTCAAATATTCCACTCTTTCGTAATTACATTACATTTCGTAAACTAAATGTAAAACATTTTACGATTATAAAAAATTTGAACATTTTTCGTTTAGTCTACACCGCACATACTTTTTAATAATAAGATCTTCTACCACGTGGATTATGATTTTTGATAGAAAAGCATTATTTACTTATCTAAGAACAAATTTGTTTTTGCCAAAAAATCCAACATGTTAAATTTATCTTTAAAAATCTCGACATTACGAGACATACTGATTCGTTTCTAACTGAAAAAATATGTGTGCGGGTGTACGTGCACCAAAATGCGCGAAATCACGGAGTCACCTAAATATAAATGGAAGTTATTCTAGTATATTTATGCATTTACATTTGAGTGGCGTTCAAAGATAAAAGTAGTACTTGATTGTTTTCCGTAAAATGGTAGAATATTATTAGATATTTTAAACAATTTCAGTAGGTACCACCAAATGAACGATAATATCTGTCCTTCAGCACCGGACACTAAGTCGTCCTTTAGCGCCGGAAAGTAAACATACTGATATTTATTGTGAGAATTGACGTAATTTATTCTAATTATTTAATTTTGTTGTTTATGAGTGCTAACGGTCACTACATACTCCCATTTTTCGTATTTCCTAGTCACAGAATGAAAAGCTTATGATGAATGCTCCAGCTGAGAGCATCGATGTTGCCCAGCCAAAAGGGTGGATGAATAGTGACCTTTTTTTGCAATATTTAAGAATATTCGTCAAACACACTTGTACAGATATTCCACAGTGTGGACATGATAGAACATATGTGTTCAATGCAGGTTGTTTTGAAATGTCCGGTACTAGGTGCCACTTTTTAAAATCATACTTTTTGTTACCAAAGTTTGATTGATAATACTTATTATTTTTTAGCAAAGTTTGCGTTTTTGTTATTTTAGTTTGATTTCGAACTTTGTTATCTAACATAAGTCATAATTAAATATACATTTCGTAAAATATTTTTTTATTTATTTATAAATAACCTTAGGTGTCCGCCACTCGGGGACTTTCCCATAAATGAAAAATATATGTGTTTTAAACTGAATTACTTACAACAATGATGATATCCTTAATGAAATTCTTAAAACATAAAACATACTTATTAATTTTCTCTTGTGCTTTGTACTCAAAAAGTTAAATCTTCAAATATATTTTTGCTTCTAACTAACAAGTAAGCATTCTAATTCCCAGTATGAAAAGCAAATTGATTCTAATGTGATGAAGAAATGCAAAACATTAAACAAACTGAATTTACTGATCAATTTAATTAGTGATTAATACATATGCTTGTATTTTGCGGCATTAGATGTAATCAACAGCGAATTACAAAAAGCTTTTAGCATCTATGGTGTCTACACATTGTAACTTATTAACTTAAGAGCCATATAAACTGTTTCGTAATGTTGTAGGCATTTTCAAGCCGCTCAGCATGCTTTTTCAGAAACTTTGGTTTCTGTTACGTCAGACCAAATCCTTTTTTGTAATTTCACAATTTATGATAAAAGTTAATATTAAGAAAGCTATCGCAAAAGCACAAAGAAGAAAAATATTTATTGCAGCAACGCGTTGTTGAAGAAATAAAACGGTGACCTTAACAATTCGCACTAACGACGCACGCATGTCGGGGCCGGATTCACTATTTTGGAAAAAAATATAATGAAAATTTTTATTAAATAATCCACACAAGTATATATATCAGCATTTGATGCACCGGCTTAGAGAAAAGGAGGGCTTCAAGGTCTGTGGGTAAAAAGATCCGCAGCTAAATTTTTTTTAACAACAATAATTGAAAGTAGAGGGAAAAATGTATAACCAGACATTACCTTAATTAATACTACATCACTATTAGAAGATAATCGGTAATCTTTGAAAATACATAACAAATGTATTTTCTTTCGTCGTTAGTTTTTTTGTTTTGAGCACTGTTGTTTAGTGTACGATACATTAATATAATTGTTAAATATACGTTACTATATTGCTTTATAAGATGCATGGTTAATTTTAATTTATATTCAACGTTTTATACATACAACCTATATAGAAGCTTCACACGTGGATGGGGTAAAAAGGAACAACTGAACTTTTACCTTGGCAGTGTGTAAACAATAAAAAGAATGTGAATAAAATAGTAAATTTAGGTAAAAAAGCAATTTACGAAAGATAAATTAAATAAACAATTATTCCAACTCTGTTGAT